TCCAGCAGTTATCTGCATATTTGAAAATACCTTTCTAATGAATTCCTCAGGGTTACAGCTGAAGCACTGAGTCCTTATTTGATTCTTAGGCTGGGGCGTTTCGTTAGGTAGGGATTGCTCAGGCTGCACTATTATCCCAGAAGCCCTGGTGGCATAGTGGTAGGCTGGTAACCAAAAGGTCAGCAGTTTGAAACCACCAGCTGGCTTCTCGGGAGAAAGATGAGGTTTTCTACTCCCATGAAGAGGTCAAGTCTCGGAAATCCACAGCGGCAATTCTACTTTGTCAGTGAGAGATGTTATCATCCACTCATACCCTCCATGTGAGCAGCAGAGAAGCCAATAATGATGTCAAGTATCCTGCTGGTTTCAATGGACCCGGGCTGCTTTCAGCCATTTCTAACTATGCAGCTTCTCCATGATAACTACTAGACACATTTGATTAAGGGACCAAAAGTTGAGGTAAGCCTATGAGACCGTCCGCAGGGAGCCCTAGGCCGGCTCATGTGAGCAGAAACAAGCGAGCCTGTTTCAGACCCACCCCTCCCCCTTTCTTGTACACAAGTCAATGATCCCTCAGAGCCTTAGCTTTTCAGGAAAGGTAACAAGGTGGATGCAAACGCACAAGAACTCAAGAATGGGAACCGATGACAAGGATCTACATATAACCTCCTCCCTGGGGGACGGACAACAGAAAGGTGGGTGAAGGGAGACCTCGGTGAGTATAAGATGTGACAAAATAATAATAATTTATAAATTATCAAGGGCTCATAAGGAAGGGGGGAGCGGGGAGGGAGGGGAAAAAAGGAGGAGCTGATACCAAGGGCTCAAGTAGAAAGCAAATGTTTTGCGAATGATGATGGCAACAAATGTACAAATGTGCTTGACACAATGGATGTATGTATGGGTTGTGCTAAGAGTTGCACGAACCCCCAATAAAACGATTAAATAAATAAATAAAAGCTTTAAAAAAAGAACTCAAGAATCACATACGGGTGGGGGTGGAGGAACTCATTGCCTTAGTCTTCCAAATATATATATATATATATATATATATATATATATATATATATATATATATATTTTTTCTCTAACAAAACCGTAAGTATTTATCGTTTGACTGGGGGTCTGCTGGGAAAGACCACTCTGATTTAGTATTTCTATCTTATAACTGCTGTGCACAGTTGGTATGAAATTATCACCTAACTAGGCGAATTTGTTTACAATCACTAAAGATGACCAAAAATTTTAACCTAGACATTGACTGCTTTTCAAGGAAAATGAAAACATGTGTGGCTTTTTGCATTTATTCTTACCAAACATTCATAAATGTAGGCTTATTCAGTGTCGAGAGGCTGTGCCAATTCAGACGGGAGACACACCATTGTAACAAGAGTGCGTTGAGAGAAGGAAGCAACCTTAGTCTCTGCATCTGCTATTCCAAAGCGGCAGGGTTCCCCTCTTAGCACGCTTTAACAAGGCTCGGTTAACTATGCTGCAGTTTGGTTTGAAGGAAATTTGCAATTTCCTGAGCATGGAAAATTCTTCTTGTGAATTAAAAGGTGTGTGTGGGGGGGAGGGGTCACATGCAAACCAGCTAATCCCATAGGAGTGCAAAATCCCCATAGAGTTTTAATTCGCACATAAAAATTAATGGTAAAATAGAAAATTAAGTCATTCTCCATTAAGGCTTATAGAACAAAAGCATCCCTTTTTTTTTCTTTATAAAATGCTATTTTCTCAATTTTGATCCCTTGTACAATAAGTTTGTTAAGTTTACAGAGCTGCAAAGCAAAGGTGCAAACCTTTAATAACATTGGTTTTAGGAAGGCAAGATCTTGGTGTAAATAAATTTAATGATAGTTTTCGGTTATTTATCTTGGAAACACTCGATATCTCTTTTCTGCCATAGAGTCAGTGCAGGCTCAGAGTAAAAGACAGGGAAAATGTCCCGATGAGTTTCTGAGACTGTCACACTGTGCAGGAGTAGGAAGCCCCGACTTACTTTTGCAGAGCTGTTAGTGGTTTTAATTGTGGACCTTGCAGTGAGCAGCTCAATGCATCATCACTCTGCCACCATCATCATTTTGCCACCAGGGCTCCTTGGGGGCCCTAGTATAGCAGAACACCGGTACTTGACCCCATCAGTACTCGACATAATTGGATTTTGATGCAAAATGTCAAGACAATTTTGCATCAAAGTTGGAACCAAACATCGGAATCTGAATCGAAGCAGGTGATTTTTGTAAACAAAAGCAGTTCGTATTTCAGTCACTTGGTGTTAATTGCCATTGTTAGTACGTGTTGTTTAAACCTTTTGCGGCTGTGATCCAAGTGTTTTGCTATAATTTTCTCCGTTTTTTGTTTTGTCCTGTTTTTAGATAAAAAACATGGATCCTAAGAAAGAGTTTTTTTAAAGAATCATCATGATAAGGAACTGGTTATCAATATTTTTGATGATAATTTAGTAAACCCTTTTGGAAAATAGTTAAGGAAACACCAACAGCAGACGACATTATACAGATTTTTTTTTTTTTTTTTGAGAAAGCCAGCCAGATCCTAGTGAAAAAAAGGCAAAGAAGGAAAAAAACTCCTGAAAAGCAGCTACCAGTTGATTCTATGGAAGGGGATTCCCCTTCCAAACAATGACTCTCTCCATACCTCCTCTCCACATCAGTGTCCACAGATAGAGATCCTCATCAGTCTCAAGGTATGGGCCATACTGTAGTTGTTTGTGAAAAACTTTTTTAATATTGTGTTTCTTATTTAAATTACATTATTTAACTCTGGACTTATTTACTTTGAAATTTCTGTGTCATGCTTCATAGAAAAAGGCAAGGTAGGGTAAAAACTTGGTGGTCGAGAATAGATTAATCCGTTTTTCTGTTATTTCTTATGGGAAAAATTGATTCGGAACTTGACTGCATCTCATATCGACGCTCCTTCTAGAACGGATTAGCGTCGAGGTCTGGGGTTCCACTGTATGTGGTGTAAATACACCATGCTCACTCAAAACTCACTGTCCTCAAGTCAATGTGGGCTCACAGGGACCCTGGAGAGCAGAGTATAACTGCCCCTGTGTGTTTCCAAAACTATACATTTTTACAGCTGGTGGTTTTGACCTGCTGAACCTGTTGGGATTGGCTCACATGTAACCTACTGTGCCACCAAGGTTCCCAAAACATTGATCCCAGAAGGAGAACAGTCTATGAGTAGGTGACATAACATCAGCACTATCCCGCACTGCCTCTCTGAACTATCTTAAAAGCAAACCTTTGGGACTCATGCTTGCTCTGTAAGAACCTGCCCTTATGTGCATTTATCTATGCTGCACACACATCCATGAATGAACGTAACAGGGCACACAGGTGGGGAAGTATAAAAACCACTCAGGTATAATCAAACACCGGGGGAATGGGTCTGTGGCCCTGGAGGCTCAGGACTATGATCCAGGGCCATCCAGGTCAATTGGCATAACACAGTGGTTCTCAACCTGCTTAATGCCGCAACCCTTTAACAGTTCATGTTGTGGTGACCCCCAACTACGAAATCATTTTTGTTGCTACTTCATAACTGTAATTTGCTACTGTTATGAATCAGGTGACCCCTGTGAAAGGGTCGTTTGACCCCCAAAGGGGTCGTGACCCACAGGTTGAGAACCACTGTAATCTATACCCTTCTTTGATGTGCAGGGACTGGGGTCTTAAATGTGACCTCCCTATCTGGAGGAACATAGTGGCGCGAACACTGAAGATGCATAGAAACAATTAGTCACATAAACACCAATCTCCACAACTCTGAGACCAGAACGAGATGGTGCCTGGCTATCATTAACAACTCTGAAAGGGACCTCACTATTAAGTCGTGTATATATAGAGAGGAAAATGTGAAAAATCCCTCAATCATAACAAAGACCTGGTCTACCAGCTGGCCAGAGACTAGTGGAACCCCAAGGAATATTGTCTTTCGTGACTCATCTGATGTAGAACCAACTTATATCTCTGAGACTCCATTTCCGAACAATAGCTCTGTAAGGGGACTAATAACACCACATATGTGCACGGCTCATCCTTTATCAACCATTTGAGATCAAAGGGCAGCCTTTATGTAAGCACGACTTTGAGAAGGGTTAGGGAGAAAAAAAGGAAAGGAAACAGGCAACAGAGGGAGGAAGTGGGATAATGAGATGTCAATCAATGAAACAAAATGTGCATGAATTGTTGAATGGAAATGAATTTGCTCTATAAACTTTTACCCAATTCACATTAAAAAGAAGTCACCCTTAGCAAACTAACAAGCTCTTGCAGACCTGAAGCATGAATCCTGTGGATCAAGAACTACATGGACTTTATTGCATGTGGCTCAGGAGCCCCGATGTCTTGGTGGTTTCCCATTGGACTGTCAACCACATGGTCAGCAGTGTAAAACCACCAGCTGCTCTCTGGGGAAAGGCCGGGCTTTCTAGTCCCATGAAGAGTTACAGTCTCAGAAACTCAGAGGCAGCTATATCCTGTCCTACAGGGTTACTCTGAGCTGGCAATGACTTGATGGCAGTGAGTTTGATTTGGTTTTTCAGTCCATATATCTGAAGTGCGAGTTTGCCCAATTATAATCTTTATTGTCATTTACTATTCAGGGTTGTTCCAGTGATATTCTATGCTCTGATTTGGTGCAGGGTAGGGGAGGCAAGCTAGATGGCCACATTAAAAAAGGTTATAAAAACATTCCTTTGATGATGGCAACACATGTACAAATGTGCTTGACACAATGGATGGATGTATGGATTGTGATAAGAGTTGTATGAGCCCCCAATAAAATGATAAAAAAAATTCCTTGTTTTTGAATGATGTAAGAGAATATATTTTTTAGTGAAGATTTAATTTTTGTTTCTGTTTTTGGTAGAATTTAAATATTGGATGTAGACATTAAATAATAGAAACACCATTGTGTTTTGCTTGCTGACGCATTTCACCTTTAACAAGTACAGAAGAAATATGAGCTCATTTTCATGGGTGACAATGTAACTTTATTGTATGCAGCAATCACTAGTTTTCCCATGTGAAATTAAGATTTAAAATAACTAGTTATTGTTAGGCCAACACATTAGGTAAGAGAAAAAGCTGAAGAGTTTTTGTTGAAATTGGAAGACAGACAGTCTAGAACAACAACAATAACAAAAAGATTCAGGAAAACTACTGTAGGTTGCTAAGACCACCACAGCAGCTTTGGCGATCACAGGTGGGGATGTTGGACTATGTGAGGGGAATGACAGGAGGGACAAACTGTCTCAGGAGAGAGGGTGGGGTTTCATGTGGAAGTTTAAACTATCTGCTTAGCAATCATCATCTTAGAATTTCCTCTGGGTCTCTAGAATTCTTCGTTTTTCCTGCAGTCTATGCATTACTTAGCATTATAATTTTTCTTTAATATAATCAACATCTATTTGGACAAATGATTAGGAAGGTTCAATATTTTTTCCCTTGGTCAGTAAAGCAACTCCTCGGATACATACTGGGAAACAGCCGGACGATCTAAACAAAGCATATTCAAAGGTTTGTTTTGAGGGGCTTGTTTTTGGATGATCATACATACCTTGGCTTCCTTTCTGAATAGATTTCTAGAGAAGAAATACTGTGAGCTTACTGATCTCTTGCAGAATTGAAACGTGGGTCTGTAGTAAAGAGAGTTATAGATATCCAAAGGTCTGCTTTACAAAAGAAAGAAAAAATCACCGGACAAAACAAGCTACCAGTGAGCCTCTTTCCCATGGGGTCTGGAGGAGCTGGCTTCACATGCTTCTGTGCAGAACCTGCTCCTCATCAGGAATTTCAGAACTCTTTGTACCCACATCAGCATTAGCTTTTTCCCCATAACACTTGAAATAGCCATTGGTGACATGTCTACCCGACAGTTGGGGTGAACTGGCTCATAAAAGAGGCAAAGTCCTTATGGCTTTGTTAAAAAGTGAGACCAGAAATATATATTTGGACTTGCTTTAAATGTTTTAATCCAGCAAGTATATTAAAAGGTGGTAGTCTTGTATACAGCAGCAGGGAGTGGCTAATCCTCTAATACAAGACAGTGAACTTGCTGTGTATATTAGGCCAGTTCTGTTAACACTTGACATTGCTTATTACTCTCTGACTGGGCTATAGACAAACCCAAAAGGAGGCACCTCATTCAAATGTGGCAGAACGTTGTAAATCATGAGTCCTGACAGACAAAGATGAATGTATTACTTGGTCACAAGTATACAAGCAAAGAGGTCATCTGTACTGCGAGAAAGAAATCCAAGTTGATATAGGGTCCAAGAAAATATTTACCAGAGGAATATGTGGTGACTTATTTATCAATTCAGAAATTCCAAATACAAAACTTCAAAATATAAGAAGGATCAAATGATATCATGTATATGATTCAATTTAAAAATTCTTAGCTCTCTTACATTATATTATCTGGATTATCATAGTAGAAAAATCAAATTACAGTCATATGAAACGTTTATAAAAAGAACTTGAATCCATTTTTTATGAATTTTATAGTACAAGTTATTCTTTAGTAAGTTTTTTCTTAGGTCACAGTATTTGTAATTCCACTGGCATCTGGATCATTTTTTAAATTAGAAAAACAAAAACCCCCAAACCAAAGCCAAGTCAATAGAAATGTAGCTCTTCATTCGCACAACTCCCTTCTGTTTCTAGGCCAGTGCACATGGCGCTGTCGACGTGTCCTGCAGACATGGACTGCTACCAGAGATTCCTGCTTTAGGGAGCATGCAGGCCTCTGCTCATTAGGAACGCTTTCTGGTTTGGCTCACGTTTCAAGAACTTCTGGAGCATGTCCATGCCGTCCAGAGATCCCCCGGGCTTCAGGATTAGGTTTCTGTACTTCATTCCAACCTAATAAAAGAAAACATCATACCTCATCACTCATGGCTGCACCGATTTTCCCAATCTACATGAACAAAGACAGGGGTGGGGCTGGGTACGGAAAGGGCCGACAGCTTTTCTCTGGCTGCATGTTCTCTTTACCTAGACCCTGGTGCTCCCTAGTTTTCATCTGCTTATTGACTTGGTAGCTAAGAGACTTGGCACTTAAACGTCCGGTCTTTCTTACATCCCTTCTCTATATCTCCCTCAGAGTCTCAGCAGTGAGCTGATAATCTGAGTAAACAGAAAAACAAATATTAACCAGAGAATGGGCAACACGGGCCTTTCTAGTTGCCTCTTCTCCCAGACGCAGTTTCCAAAGGGTTAGAAAAGCACGTGGTCTAACGTGCTGCAACCAGGGCTTCTGGAAATGGTGATAGAGCGGCTGTCAGAATAGATTCTTCTTACAGATGAAGAAGGAAACCCATAAGGGTGGGATCTCTAAAACTGGGGTCCTCAAACTTTTTAAACAGGGGGCCAGTTCACTGTCCCTCAGACCTGTTGGAGGGCCGGACTATAGTTTAAAAAAAAACTATGAACAAATTCCTGTGCACACTGTACATATCTTATTTCGCAGGGAAAAAACAAATGGGTCAAAAACACCAGGTGGGCCAGATAAGTGTCCTCGGCGGGCCGCATGTGGCCCATGGGCCGGGCCGTAGTTTGAGGACCCCTGCTTTGGACATATTGTCAGGAGAGACCAGTCCCTGGAGAAGGACATCCTGTTTGGTAAAGTGGAGGAGCAGTGAAATAGAGGAAGTTTCTTAGTGAGATGGATTGACACAGTGGCTGCAAGAAAGGACTCAGGCATAAGAATCATTTTAAGGATGGTGCAGGGCTGGCACTGTTTCATTTTGTTGTACACAGGGTCAGAACCAACTAGATGGGACCTAACAACAACAACAACCATCATGAGTACTGTTTGAGTTCTGTGTGGCCATTACAGTGAATTTGCGGACCTAACAAAAACGTATTGTGGGAAAACTGGTTGCTGTCACCAATGGGGTAAAAGAAGTATAGATGGTGGAAATATGTCTGACCCCTGCCTCGTGGCAATAGGGAATCCAGAGGAGGTCAGATATGCCTCCGCACAATTTTCTGTATCATGTTCCTACAGCTAAAATGCACCCACCGATAATAACAAATGAGGATGTGGAGCAATTGGGACCTTGTAGATGCTAGTGGGGCAGTAGAATGGTACAACTCCACTATGGACAATGACATGGTGCTTCCTGAGAGAAACAAAAACAGCCCAACAGACCTAGAAATAGAAATATTTTTTAATCCAGAAATTCCACTTCCAGTTGTATACCCTAGAGTTCTAATAAGAGATGCAAATATGTATATGCACATTTATGTTGATTGTAGCATTATTCATAATACCAAAAAAACGGAAGCACCTTGTGTTGCTATGATGTTCAAAAGGGTTCAGTGGGACTTCTAGACAAAGTAGAACCAGGAAGAAAGGCCTGTAATCTACATGTCTACTTCAGCTAATCAGCCAATGACAGCACTATAGATGAACATGGTCTCTGTAACTAATCACAGGAATGAAACAGGGCCAGACAACTACTTGTTGTACAAGTAGTTTTT